TAATAATAATAAAATATATTATATTTTGATTGATTTTGACACGGTTCACGTTTCAATAAATTTCACACCCCTATTAAGGGGTGCCATTAGCACCCCCCCTAATATTTACATTGTAAATATACATACAGTAATATAGTCGTATATCTATGTAACATCCGTGTTTTTGAGAAATTAATCAATATGGGTGTAAGGTGCTCTATGATAAGACAATGGATATTTTACCAAGTTTTACTATTAGAAAACAGGGTATTAAATTTCCGATGGATTACCGACGGATATTTGAACAGGTGTTTTCATTTAGAATTTTCATCACGAAAATGTTAGAAAGATGTTCCTTTTACGATAAAAACATTTCATTTTGAGAAATTATGATTTAAAAAGTAGTCTTTCAGTTTTATTATTTTATAATTATGATGAAAACTGATTCAAACTGCTTGAACTCAGTAAGCATGAAGTCTAACCATTTTTATTAGTCGGCATTTGCATCAAATCCTCGTTGAGGAACGGTACTAACGGCACTGTGATGAGTTGAATGCTAGTTAGAGGCGTACGAGAAAAAATTAGTTAATTGAAGACGTCTTTCGTACTTTGAAGATAGCGACAGTTAATGAGTTTTAATAAGACTCATCCCTGATATATAATTTTGTAAAGTTTGGATTATTATTTGTTGATGTTAAATCCTAGATTTCCGTGATATGTAATCAAGTGTATACATTTAGAAAGATGTTATAATGTATGCAAGCCTTTCTGCTCATGGATGCCTAGGGACCGTAGCCCTACTTTAGTAAAAAGAATATGATTTACAACCTCTATCATACATAACAAAGCGTTTCAGACACGTAAGATCCTTGTAATTGTCCCTACCCCACAAGCCCAGCCTACTCTTTCGAAATCGCTTTCAATGAAAATAATGACAAGACAAACGGCTTATAAAGATGCCTTAATCAACCAAAACCATCGATCATTTGATTCTCATTGGCCTACCCATAAATACCCTCTCCTTTTCCACTACCTTAATCATCTCTCCAAATAAAAAACATCAACATTATTGCAATGGCACAGTTCGAACGAGTCTCGTCATAAAACATAAGATGGTTTTAAATATCTAATTTTCTTTTTGTCTTTTCTAGCTGAAGGTCCAAATAAAAAAAAGTAAAAATGTTGAGAACGTACAAACAAGTGATTCATATGTGAATCATTAGTAAAACCCAAAAAAAAAATCATTTAGGAAAACTTGCTATTCATCCATTTTTTCTGAAAACCCATTTCAATTATGAGAAATCTTGGCTACTAATCAAACAAAAATGATGAAATTCCTCAAGAACCAAAGTGGGTTTCTTGTGATATCTCTCGAGTGTAAATAGAAGTGGGTATGATGTAATGTAATCTTGTCTTGTAGCTATTCATACTAATTACGAAATTACCATAAAAGGGGGTTGTTAACTTGTGATTCCCACCACTACTTCCCAAATCCATTGTTTTCAATCAGAATAATGCCAAAACAAACATCTTATAAAGATGCCTTTAATTACCCAAAACCATTCGACATTTGATTCCCTTTTGGCGACCCATAAATACCCTCTTTCTTCTTCTTTCCCCTAAAACACCATCTCTTCAAATGGAAACATACATCATTCCTGCAATCACAGAATCATCAATTTTCACTATTTTAGCCTTATTTGCTGGGATTTTGGTCTATTTTTATGGACCATTATGGGGTGTAAGAAAAGTACCAGGTCCTCCACCCATTCCATTCGTCGGACACCTGCCTTTGCTTGCTCAACATGGCCCAAACATGTGAATCAGGTTTCACATGGGCAGACAGCCACTGGTCTATTTTAGCCTTATTTGCTGGGATTTTGGTCTATTTTTATGGACCATTATGGGGTGTAAGAAAAGTACCAGGTCCTCCACCCATTCCATTCGTCGGACACCTGCCTTTGCTTGCTCAACATGGCCCTGATCTCTTCGCTCTTCTTGCCACCAAATATGGCCCCATCTTCAGGTTTGATTTCGTTTTCTGTTCCTTTACGTAGTTTGAATCAATGATTGCTGTTTAATCCTCAAATCTGGAATTTTGTGGCTCTTGATTTTGGTTTCGGCTAGTGGTTTTGGTATCATCGATTTTGGACCCTAAAATTTGTTTGACTTTGACTTCAAAAGTCAAATCCCGAGTAGTAAACACCGGCACCAGGACCAGGACCTTGTAAGAACCTCTTTCTTTAACTTATCAAATTAACAATAGTAGTTCTTCGCCTCTTTTTTTTTTGGGTCCATTTATTCCTTTTTTTGGGTCCATTTAATCGTTCGACATCAGTAATTATTATATTAGTGATTATAAAATCAAGAAAATGAAAGTAAGATCGAAGGTTCTTATTAAAGCATCTAAAAGACGTGAGGTTCTTATAAGAAACTTCATAATAATAATTCTTACAAGTAATTACATTTTTAACTCTCTTTCTCTCTCACGTGAACCCATCCTATAAAATGAAATGTTGTAAATGGAAAAATATAATTTAAAATATTGAAAAGTTGACTTGAAGTACACATTGGGCCTGAGGCCTATGATTGATTACAAGACCGAATGACCGATCCAATCCTTTGGGCTCAAATCGGTTACGGTTTTCAATTGGAGGCCCGGTTAAAGATAGGACTGGTTGTTCAAGTTATTTATGGACTTGAAATAAGTCAAAACATACAAAAAGAATTTGACTAATTTGAAAAATTGAAGTCAAACATGTGAATCAGGTTTCACATGGGGAGACAGCCACTGGTTATTGTGGCAGATGCTGAGCTGTGCAGAGAAGTTGGCATCAAAAAATTCAAAGACATTCCCAACAGAAGTATCCCTTCTCCCATTTTGTCTTCTCCACTTCATAGAAAAGGGCTTTTCTGGATCAGGTATTTACACCATGTTTCAGATAATAAAAAAAATGTGTCTGAATCAGGTATTTTCTTTAAAGAAATGATCTTAATGGGTTTTCAGGGATTCAAGATGGTCAACCATGAGAAACACCATCCTCTCTGTATACCAGCCATCACACTTGGCCAAATTAGTCCCAA